AATTTAATTAAATAATTAATAAATTAAAAATTAATTTTTATTTTTTAATATAAATTTATAATAAAAAAGATATTTATTATTAATACCCATTAATTGTGCTATGCAAGGCGTCATCTTGTTAACGATTTGATTAATCTTAACATAATCTGTTAATTAGCCAAAGAATAATTCTTAATCTTAATCTATTAATTAGTCAAAGAGCAATTTTTAACTCATCATTTTTTCCTATTTAAGTTAACATTTTTATTTATATTTTTTCTCTACTCTGCTTAGAGAAAATCGCCTCCAATTTTAACAACAATACTCTCACCAATCCAACATTAATAACTAGTCTAACCCACCCAAAAATCCTGTCTTGCCAATATCATGTAATTAATGGGTATATTTATTTGATCTATCCTTGATCTATCAGCTTATTTGATTTTTGATTGTTTGCTCTCTATTTATGCCTTGATAATCAAAAGTATATTTATTACTCCCATTGTATTTTTGATAGGAATGCTATATTCTTTAGTGGATATTCCGTAATAAGCTATATTTTTCTCTTAAATGGATTACTGATAAAGGAATTTGGTTTGAATCCTTTTTCCGAAGCAAGGTCCATTCTCTTTTGTTTAATTCTTTTATATTTACTTTTTATCGAATATAGTTATTTGACTGTATTCTCCATGTCTTTCATATTCTTCAAAATAAGCTTCTCTTTCTTTAATATTCTGATTCATCACTACTAAAGGTATATAAACTTTCCACTTCATATATACTTTCTTTGCTACTTATAAAGCTAGCATCTATTTCACTTAGTTCTTCCTCATAAATTTTTAGGTTTTTAGTACTTTCTCTTTTGTATCTTTTAGGACATTCATTTGCATAATACCCCTCTTCTTTACACAAGCAGTATGTGCATTTTTTAGGATTCTTTTTATACTTTTTTGATGTTTTGGTTTTCTTAAAATATCTCCTTTTCTTTTTAGAAAATTTTTTCTTATTAAACCTTTGTTTGTTACTTCTTTTAATTCTAAATTTCTTATTTCTCTTGTTGTAGTTGGTGTAACTACATCCTAACTTGATTGGATCACTATTCTTAGGACAACATAGTCCCTTTTTTCATACTTTTTCTTAGTTTGTTCTGGCTATAGCTTTCTAGGCACCATTCATTAATTTTGGTTTTAGCAAACCAAATCCTTAACCCTAAAGTATCTTTCTTGTCTTCTACATATATTTTATAGGCTTCTGCCAATTTTATTCCCCAAGTATTAGGAATTTTTCCAAAAAACAATTCCATGAGGCCTTTAGTTATTCCATGATTTGAAGCTTTACAATAGTATTTTTGAAATAGACAAATGTATTGATCTAATTCATAGAGATTACATAATTCTAAATTTTACAAATTCCACACTGTTATTCTTCCAATTCTGGCCTCCTCCTTTCCTTGATTTTCTTCCCAATTTTCTCCTAAGAATTCTCTCCTAATAGCTGATTAAAAAACCTATTTATTATGTCTTGAATTGCTTCGTTTTCATTAACTTCTTCTGAAGCAGGATTTTCACTTATAATAACATTACTGTCTTCTTCATTTAGACCAGCAAACTAGTCGAGAACTATCCCTTTAAAGGTGACTTCAATAAATCTAACTGTTTGTAAGGCATTCCAATTTTTGTTTGCTACGGCTATCCAAGTTGCTTGGGCCCTGTCACTAATGACCTTCTCTAGGTCGGTAACACAATCTAGATCTAGCCAAATACCATTAGTACTAATTATTTGTTCTTTGATTTTTATTGGTGTTTCAAGTCTAGATTGATTCCCAAATCTTTTACTTTTTTTATCATATATCACTTCATGTGTTAGATTTCTATTTTTTCTATAGCTTTGGCTTATGCTGGATTCTACTCTAGGTGGCACTCGAAATTCTGTTGGGGTTATATTAGGATGTGTCTCATCCTTTTCCTCTTCACTTTCCTCTTCTATTTCCTCCTTTTGGGTATTCATTTTCATATTTTTTAATTGTTTAGTAGTTATAGTAATCTGTCTACACAAATTATCTAGTTCTTCTATATTTTTTTCTTTTAAGAATTTTTGTTCAAGTTCTTTCAACTTTTCTTCTTAAGTTTTTAATATGAAAAGTGTTATCCCTTTTTATTTAGGTTTTTTTGTGAAAATTTTTGGATTACTTTAAATCTTTCATTTCTATCTACAATATTTCACCTACTACATACTGATATTATAGTATCTTGTAAATCCTTGAATTGTGTTTGGATCTTATAAAATTTTTTATCTATATCACTTTCTAGTTGTAGAATTATACTGTTATAAATTTTTAAGCTTTTATTGCAAATTTTTCAACGATTGCTTTTAATATCTTGAAATTTTCTTCTATTTTGATTTCTATCTCTCTTACTCTAGATATCAAAGTCTTTGAGTCTTTAATGGACCTTATTTCTTCTTTTATTTCTTTCAAATTTCTAGAGTTTTTAACATTATTTATTCTTTCTTTAATAGAATCAAATTATTGAGAAAGGGATTTTCCCATTTCTTTAATTCTTCTTAGGGTATTTTCATTAATTGTTTCTATTTTTAGAATATTATCTATGATAATTGTATCTTCTATATCTATTATACTTTTTCCTATTGTATTGAGTAAATACATGTTAATTTAATTTATTTGTTCATTGCTCATACTAATAGAAGTGTATTAATAATATTTTTTTAATGTATTTATTCTTTCTCTTTTCTTTTTTTTCTTATTTTGTAATTAAGAGTTTTAACTCTCATTGTACTTTCAATACTTACTTTTAGAGCTTCTCTTTCTAAGTTCGCTAAGGTTTCTCTCTTCGAATTAAGCTAGTTGCTCAATTTTATTATAAATTCTAATTAATCTATCTTTATAGAGTATTCCTTAATTCATTATTTTTTATTAGGATTATAGCGTCATTTTTTTAAAACTTAGAGGATTGTTTTATTTTAATTCTAAGTTGGTTCTTCTATCAAAACTAACGAGAATCTTGTACGATAGACCATTCTAAAATATTTTCCAAAATTTATAGATCACTTAAAAATAAAGCATGACAATCTTGTACGATAAACCATTCTGAAATATTTTTTAAAGTTTATCGACCACTTAAAAATAAAACATACTTTTTAGACTAATATGAAATCAAATTGATAGTTAATAGAATAATTTTTGAACTAAGTCGTATTTTAACTAATTAATTTATCTTTTATTATTGTATTTTTTTAACATATTTATTTAAATTTCCATATGTATTGTTTTATAAATTAATATAACAATAAAAGTGTAAAATCTATTTGTTGAGGTTTATCGACCACTTAAAAATAAAACATACTTTTTAGACTAATATGAAATCAAGTTGATAGTTAATAGAATAATTTTTGAA